TATCGTGGCAGGCTGGAAATGCAAATTGCCCAAAAATGCATCCCTGTGCTAACTTGGAGAATTAAAGAGTTAAGAGTGAAATAACTTTCTCTACATAATCAGAGTAGTTCTAAATTACTGGTTATTACTATTACTATTACTATTTGCGAAATAAAGCCCACCATTTTAGGGATTACAAGAAACACGATAATGTTACAAATATCTTTAAAATTTCCTCTTCGGTCATATTTCAGTCCGTTTTCTCGTAAATATGCGAGAGCTTAGAGCGATGCGCGCTCCCGCGAGAGGGGATGCAATTTTGGACAGGTATGCGTTTCTGGGCATAACACCGGCCTCTGCTTTGTGTGGTTTTATCAGAATCTGACTGAGGCCTTCCTGCAGTCATTACGGTAATTTACGGTAATCCTGACAGCGGCTCTGGGAGTCAGCTGATCCTCCTGTTACTGGCGAGTGAATGAGGAAAATCCTCTGAAGGAAAACACAGCTGGCTAGGTGAATTCATCATGGCTGCAGAGATTCACTCGAGGCCCCAGACCGCTCGACCGGTTCTCCTGAACAAGATCGAGGGACACTCGGACTCCGTCAACGCGGCGGTTTTAATCCCGAAAGAAGATGGAGTGATCACGGTCAGCGAGGACAGGTGAGAGCCGCCAAGCAAGCGAGCTAACCGGAGCTAGCAGGGTCCGTCTATTTACTGGTGATTACATTAACATATCTGGGCGAAGAATAAATAAAAGGAAGCGAGAAGCTCCTCACTCATAAAAAATAACTTCAGTTTGGCTGTAATTCACAAGGGCACGACTGTTTGTTTATCTAGAAATATATACTTCACAAATAAACCTGCAACCAGCAGCTAGCTTGGTTTGTACCCTAAGCGGATAAATATTTTGTCGCTGTTATTTACGAGCCATTTCCAAAGTGCAAACCTCCAACTTTTTAGTACTTTTATCTTGTTATTGTTAACCTCAAAGTGGAACTACGTACAGCTCGCCTTATGACGCCCTAATAATGCTTGGTGTCGTATAACTCCTTACATTTCCTTACTTGTACTTGTTGGAAGAGATCTCTGTTCCCTGAAAGCCACACTTGTGGCTTCAACTCTTGAGTCCCTCAGGAGCACCTGAAAGCAGCATGACGACTGCWATTCTGTTGTTTGACAAACCAATCACGCGTAGCTGTTTATAAATGAGCTAATCTGTGGATGTGTTTGAGGGTCTGACAGTTTTAATCAGAGGTAAAAGAAGCAACAGCTGCTATCAGAGTTGACTCTGTGTACTCACAGTTTCTAATCTCAGGACTGATAAATGGAGAAGTTGCAGAGTGACGGTGCAGCAGTTCTATTAGAGAAACTGGGTTTGACAGCTGACGCTTTAGATAATGTCGAGACTACAACTCTGCACTTTTCCTCCCTGAGAGGCGTCCACACAGCTTTAAGGGCTACAGTTTCACAAGTGCTTTTGTTTTGGATCACTTTTAAAGATTTCAGTTTGGGTTGTTACACTTAAACAACTCCAGATTTCATTTTAGGATTATCATTTGCTGGAAGACACCATCAGCCTTTTTGTGTTGTTTTCACTGATCTTTCATGTGATAATGTGTGAGTTTGTTTCTCGTGATAGGAACATATCTGATGACTCACTGGATGGAGTTTTATGAATCTTTTAGTAAACAACCATTGGATGTACATTAAAAACTGATTAACCTTTGAGTCCAACACATTCAAATAACCACCACAGATAAGCAACCTTATAAAACACCATGCCTTCAACCAGTTTTACAGATACTGAGTGAATATATTTGAAGAAATTTTGTAGCAGATTAATTGAATATTAGATTCAGTTTTGTATTTTATACTTTCTGATCATTGCAGCTT